ATGGATGCTTGGGGCATTCCGGAGAGCTTTTTGCCTATGCAGATGCCGCCAGTAGAAGTCTGTCACTCGTCGCAACTCGTTCGGGCGCGGACAAGCACATGCACCGTCAGCGCTCAGGTTGCCCATGACCTGTTTGACAGAATGACACAACAAGACTCGGTATGATCTTGTTGCTCCTCTCCAACCAACTTTGCATATGCCATGTTCAATGTTTGGCATAGACTGCTAGTTAATTTCGGACATGATCAATGCTTGGAAACAATTATCATTTTAGGAGTTTATCACGTCAGACATGATCAATGATAATCAAGATCGGACCCAGATGGGCTACGAGTTGGGAGATCCAACTTGCCCTTCATTTGAAGTTGGGACAACATCAAATCCCAATCCGAGCAAGAAGAAAAAGAAGCCAAAGACGGCAAAGGTACGAGATCCGGCACTCTAAACTTTTGAGGCTATCTTGTTGGTTAAATCTTGGTTGGCCACAACAATGGATCCCATATGCGCCACGAAGCAAAAGGGGAACAAGTATTAGGAGAATATTTGGAAGGAATATCACGAGCAAAAGCAATATGTGGAGCCGCATCCTATCGTCACGAACCACAATGTGGCATCTCTCCAACATCGATGGGGATCATACAGGGGAAGTGAACAAGTACGTCGGCTACTATTCGCAAGTGCTTAGGTGCCCTCGAAGTGGGATGGGAGTGGCAACTCACGTAAGCTAAATTACTTCATCTTATCATCATTTTCATATGCTCTTTTTTGTTGCATTCTCATTATCATACATTTTTTTGCTAGACGATGGAGGCAGCCACTATGTATCAAGAAATGTAGAAGAGGTCATTTGGTTTTAGCCATTGTTGGGTGATATTGAATGGCAAACCAAAGTGGACACAATTTGTGGGCGTTCTCAAGGCCGACAAGAAGAGAAATTATGGCTCAAGCTCCCACCAATCAATTAGGCTGGACAAAGAAGAGGAAGGTGTTGTAGTGGAGAATGGAAGAGCCACCATGCCAAAGGATAACCAGCAAGTGATGGGAAACAAGAGAGAGAAGGTGAGGTCCTCCCGTGATGCTGCGGCTACAAAAATGTCCTCCGGATGGACGGGCCTTTTTCTGTTAGGGAGAACAAGAAAGAGGGGAGGTACAAGCTCATGTTGGATGCGCAAAAGGATATGATGAATTGAGACCGGGGGAGGGCGAACAAGAAGCTGCAAATTGAGACGAAGATGATCGAGTTGGACAAAAAAGAGGCGGCGATCAAATGGGAGCTCGAAAAGGCAAAGACATTTGTACAGATTGAGCTTTAGAAGAAGAGGTTGCAAATCGCACGAAACACAGAGGATGTGAAGATAATGTTGGCGGACAAAAGCCTCTTGGATGAGCAGGCAAAGAAGTGGCTTGTGGGGATGAAGAAAGAGATCAACGAGAGTTGGGAGTACGAGGCGGCGAGGGCGGTTATGGAAGCAACGGAGTATGTGGCAGGATGCAAGCAAAGTAGGCAGAGCAGGAGGCAAGGATGTCTACTAAGCAGGCGGCATGGATGGCGTCCGGTGAGTTATCCGGCCAGCGGCGAGTGATCCTTCCCATTCGAACTTTGATTTCATTTGGCATGTCTGAAATATTGAATATGATTTTGTTTTGCTTTATCGTATTTTTTTGAACTATTGAATTGAGATTATTTGTATCGTATGATCGACGTGAATAGATTGCATGGGTCTGAGGATTCACATTTGAGGTGTGTGGATGTGCGGCATCCCAAATGACGGGTTGCCGGGCGTTGTCCGCGGACGCTCTCGCGGGCATATAGAGGGCCAGATTAGTCAAGTCCGACTGTAAATGCTCATAATAATCCCTATTTGTTTGGTCGAAGAAGAGAGAGGGGACGGGGGCATGCATGTGGTTGCTTTTGGTACAATATTGTGATTGGTGCCCAAAGGAGAGAGAGGAGGGAGGAACCATGCATGTGGGGGGGAGAAAAGGGAGAAAGACCACATGGTTGATTCTGTTGGTCAAGTGGATGTGCGGACTCTCCAAGAACAGCCGCAAGTTTGCTTTCAATTTGCTAGAAAAAGACGTCCGGACCAGCCATCATGTGGATACAAGACCGTGTCGGATGGCAAAACACATCGGGCCGTATTGTGCGAACGGGTGCAGGCAGTTTAAGGGTAGAGATGCCCTTATGCTATTAGTTCTTAATTCTTGTACATGTTCATGCGTGTCAACTATTGGTAGCTTTTGACAGCTTCAACCATTCACGTGTTTTTTCATTGCAACTCCAAATATGAAACTTATGTCTTGTGATCAAAAGTCCAAATTAACTAATTTTGCTTGCATATTTATGTTTGTTGCAACTAGTATTTTCGAACGAGGGTAATTCTGAATACATTTTGGCAATTTCTTATAAAAAAGATATCAAGTTTTAAATATTGAAACTTGATAGCCGTAATATCAAGTTTTATCAAGTTTCATTTGCTTTTAGGAGTTAGGGCTTAGCGTGTAGTGGTTAGGGCTTAGGTTAAAAGTTTTATTCTCTAAAATTGATGAAATTATCATCCCTTCCTATCTATTTTTAGTAGTTAAACTTGGTGAATTTTTTTAAAAAATAAAAAATATATTTTAAAAAGCATCTTGTGTAAAAACCTTTGTTATAAGGAACACAAATATGCAGCCAAAAAAATAAAATATAAGTGAGGGGAGGGCGGCGTTGTCGGCTAGCTCGCTGCTTCAATGCCGAAGCGGCAGTGAGAGGTCGCGTCGCTCTGAGCCAGCATGAATGCGACATTAGTGCTCTGGAGCGGCGCTGACTGCTTCGAACGGGAACGGGCGCTAGCGAAGTAGGGTTTTTTGGGTGAGCCAGGGTCAAAAGCGGGTGTGGCAACGATCGGGACAGCCGCAAAGCCTCCCAGTTTGTTTCTGGTTTACAAAAAAAATCACGTCCAGACCGATTGGTGAACCAATACAATTTCACGTTGGATGGCGAATGTGGATTCGGACAGTTGCGGCAGTTTGACAGTCGGCATTGAAGATATCCTAAAACACTAATCAAGTGACCTCTTGAATTTCAGGGTAAGCTCGTGTCCTCAACTAATGGCAAATAAAATTCTGCCAAATCAGCAATTATGTAAGGAGAACATAAAAATCACTACTACGAACCATTTTGTGGCTGGATGGTTAGAGAGATAGTGTTATCTTCAACATACTGGGGTTCAAGTCATGATGATATGCCGGCGTAGTATTTCGGATGTGCTCATATAAATAGACTGTGCGTGTTTATATACATATATATAGTGTTACTATTCATCACTCAAGGTGCAAAAAAAGTTATTCTTCATCCGAGGTAATCTTACGATCGCTTTCTAAATAAATTACGTTTAGAATATAAATAGTTACATGCATATCGATTCAATATGTAAATTTTTTATAAAAAACAAAAATGTAGGTTATAAGACCAGAAAAATCACATTTTATGTATGTTTTACATTATGTTTTTATATTCGTAATTTTACTTAACATAAAATATTTTTACGGCGAGTAAATATTTTCTTACGTTCTCTTTTTATGTATGAAATAAGACATAATTTACGAAACGTAAAAATACGATGCATTGATGTCAAAATAGAGAGGGGTGAAGAATAACTATTCCTCACCCAGGATGACGAATAGCATGACCCTATATATAAGAAAATAGCATGACGAATAGTTACATTTCTATTGATTCACTACGTAAAATTTGACATAAGAAAATAAAAATATATGTCATAAGACAAGAAAATTTGCAGTTTATGTGTATTTTAAACTATGTTTTTACGTTTGTAATTATATATAACATAAAATATTTTTTACGACGATTATATATTTTCTTACGGTCTCTTTTTGCATCGAAAATAAGACAAAACTTACAGAACGTAAAATTACGGTGCATTGATGGTAAAATAGAGAGGGTGAAAACCCAGGGTGACGAATAGCGCGACCATATATATATATGAGCACGTGCGTCAGCTTTCGATAGACGTTGAACATGGTGCGATGGCACGTGAACAGTGATCATGCAACGATGTAACGCCTTACGTCGTGCTCATTTACGCACGGTTTCGGCAGATCCGCCTGCTTAGTTTGTTTTCTTCGAAGCAAACAGAGGCTGCCGGCTTAGTTTGACCACGCGCTAGCTTGCTCGCCGGCGCCCGAGACGAACGGACTAAGAAGGAAGTAAAGCGGGAGGAACATACCAGCGGCAGATTTGGTGCGTACTTACGCAGCGTGCTCCTCGTGTGCTCCTCGCCGCCGGGGAGCGCAATCACCGCGCGGTCGAACGTCAGGCCGGCCACAACCGCCTCTGCGGCAGCGTCGTCCCCGCGGCAGGCCGCCGCCCACGCCTGAAGGAACCTCCACACCGACCGGCCGTCGACCACGGCGTGGTGCATCGCCACGCCGACCGCCACCCCACCCTTCAGCCGTGTGACCTGCACAGCCAGCACCTCCGCGGGGAGCGCGTCGACCTTGAGCTTCGGGACGAACGCCTTGAACGCGTCCACGTCGTGGTCCGCGTCCCCGGCCAGCCGCCCCGCGTCCGCGTCGTCGCTCTCCGCGACGATGAACCGCACGCCGCTTCCCTCGGAGGCGGAGCAGTCGATTGCGGCGTCGCCGGTGGACGGCAGGAAGACGATCCTGCCGGCGAGCGGGGGAAGCCGCGCGAGCGTGGCCTCCAGTGACGCGCGGAGGGAGCCGACGAGAGATGCGAAGGGTGGGTGCTGGCAGCCGGCGTCGTCGAAGAGGAACACGCGCTGGATTACCGGGAGCACGACCCACGGTGCTTCCAGCGCGGACAGCCTGAGTAACAAGTCCTCCGGCGGCGGGGCGACGCTGTCGAATTCGACGATCTTGACCGTCGGCATGACTAGCGACGAGATAGACGGCCTTGGTGGAGGTGCGATGCGCTGCGTGCCGATCTGCCGTGAACTGGAGGTGGCAGCGCCCTAGAGCGTGTGATTATGATTAGTCAACGCCGAGAGGTAGTAGAGGGGAAAAGTAAGCGTTGGAAATAGGGTGTATATCAGGTGCTGCCACACTTGCGCCTCCTTTGTTTCAGCTTTGATTAGTTTCAAATGAGTCGTGGATTCGCTTAAGTGGTAAAGCCGATTCGCAGTGATATAAGGCCAACTCTAATGGACGTTCCCATTTGGTTCGGCCGCGTCACACTATGACGAAACAAACACAAACCGTGGCCTAACGCGCACCCGCAAACGAACGGGCGTATGTCATTCCTCCATCCTGGACTCATTTCTGACCCGAAACTGGGTCATGTTTGCGTTGAATCGACAGGTCGCACACGCTCTCTTTGTCCTTCCTCTAACCTGTCCGTCGGTGAAACAAATCTCCCTTTCCCCCCTTCCCTACGCCCCACCCCCCGGCACGCCGCCTTTTTTTTCGGCCCGCTCCGCCGTTGTATAGGCCGGTCGCCCAACAACCCCGCCCCTCGCCCCGCTGCATTGAAACAAATCCCCCGCCCCTCGGCCGCTTTCGGAGGAGGTCTTGCCGGCGTTTGTCGGATTTCATCGCCGCCTCCGGTACTAGAGGAACCACGGCCGTCGACGACGCCCATCGACCCCAGCATTGTGTTGGAAATATGAGCAATTTACCGAATGATTTTATTAACAGAAATACTAGATAAAGCATGACTAATATAATAGAGATAAAACAAGTCATGCATTCGGACAGAGAGAAGGTAAAGAGCATCTGCATATATGAACTTGAACTAAACACATCTAGAACAGATAATAGATGAAGTTGCATATATGAAGTAGAACCTAACACATGTAGGACGGAAAGTAGAGCAAAGAACTGTGTCATGACATCTAACAGAAAAAGTAAGAACACGTACGGGACAGCAGCAGTAGAAGTGCTGGACTTGGGGTCGGTGTTCTCGCCCGCAATGTCGTGGAGGAGGTCGTGGACGTCGGGGAAGAAGTCGTCTTCGGGGAAGTAGTCGTCGGCGACCGGATCGTCCGTGATGAAGCAGCCAGTAGTCGCGCTGAGCGCTCCCCAAAAACCTTATCACCCTTCTCCCATACATGACTCAAAATGTGCGGTTTCGGAGGCCTACTGTCCCGAACTGCGGTGCACGCCGCGAGCCGGGATGGGAAAGATCGTAGCAGCAGCGCAGTGCTCAGGAACTTGTGGCGAGAGGAGGAAGAGGTTCTGGTGTGTCTCTCTGGGAGGAGCGACCTCCCTTTTATAAGCGCAAGAGAAGGAGGCGAGAGGGCAACGGCGGGAGGCGAAACGAAGTGACAGAGACGAAGCAAACAGCCAGCAGCTGAAGGGCTGCACCGTTCGCATTCGAACTCCACTTTCTCCAGTTTCCGTGTGACCTTTCGTATACCCATAGTGCGTGGCAAAAATTTAGACATCGGCTCGGCTCATTCCCACAACCCGCGGCGCGGCGTGGCGAGGCAGACGGTGGAGGAGAAGCGCGCGTGGATATCCCTCTTGTTCTCATGCTCGTACAAGTGGGGAAAGAACCTCCCTTATAAGAAGGTCCAACTCCCACTAAACTAGCAATGTGGGACTAAACTTTAGTAGTATCCCTTGCCTTGCACAAATGGGCTAAGTGGGTCTTTACGATTTATTAGGAATTTTTGAAATAGTTATTGGGTTGCCCAAAATAGTCTAAATTCCAGCAATCACTGAAATAGTTATTGGGCTACCCAAAATAGACTAAATTTCAGCAATCCCCCACCAGATCCCAGAGGCACACAGAAATTTGTCTTTGGTTCCAAAACACTGTTTTATATACCAGTACTGCAGTGGAGACTGTTAAGTTGAACTTCCACCTAGAACTCTATGCTACACTAGTAAGCAACTTGAACAGTGGACTGGGCCTTGAACTGCAAGTTTTCTGTGAATCTAGCTTCACATAAAGCCTTGACCGATACGTGGCTACCGTAGGTCTTCCCCGCGGGTGGAACTTATGCGTCACGGATGCGTCATACTCTGTGATGTTTCATGAGTTTACTAGAGAGAACTCTACTCTCATAGATTGCGACGTTTGATAATCGGACTCATATAGGTGTGTTCTTCAAAAGATATTATGCAGGATAACATCTCTGCTTAAATAAGCCACTTAGAACACATTAAGATATACATCAACCTACCATGCAGATTAGGAGAGTATTGCATCTTCATGGAGTGGTTTTGTGAATAGTAAGGATACTCTCCTCTCAGTTGACCAACAGCTTGTCTTCCACATCTAATTCACGGGATCTCCGATCACAAAGAATAGGTTACCACTGTGAACAACTCATATTGTGGGTCTCATACCCATCTCCCTCGATGCATTATCTATCACATTACGTGATAGACCCTTGGTAAAAGGATCTGCCTGATTTTTAGACGTTTGGATATAATCCAACGCAATAACTCCAGAGTTTTTTCATTTTCCTGACAGATTTTAACCTTCTCTGAATGTGTCTTGATGACTTCATGTTATCCTTTGAGCTGCTCACTTTCGTGATCACAGTTTGATTGTCGCAGTTCATAAGGACACCCGGTACAGGTTTCTCAACAATCGGCAAGTCATTCAAGAGCCGGCGAAGCCAATCTGCTTCAACCGTAGTTGTATCTAGTGTTGTTCTGCTTCCATTGTTGACCTCGTTAAGATGGTCTACTTGCAAGACTTCCAAGAAACAGTGCCACCTCCATGAGTGAATACATAACCGCTCGTGGCCTTTATCTCATCAGCATATGAGATCCAGTTTGAGTCACTATACCCTTCAAGCACCTTTGGATGCCCGGTGTAGTGAATTCCATAATTTGTAGTGCCTTTCAAATAACGCAAAACTCTCTCTAGAGCTTTCCAATGCACATCTCCTGGTTTTGAGACAAACCGACTTAGTTTGCTAACATCAAAAGAGATGTCAGGTCTTGTAGCACTTGCTAAGTACATAAGCGAGCCAATAATCTGAGAATATTTCAATTGATCTCTAGCAATTCTTCGATTCTTTCGAAGTAACACACTCGCATCATATGGTGTTGGAGAGGGCTTGCAGTCACTATAGCCAAAGCGACTCAAGATCTTTTCCACATAGTGAGATTGAAGCAATGTAATCCCACCATCATCGTCTCTCAACAACTTGATGTTCAAAATGACATCAGCCACTCTTAAATTCTTCATCTCAAAACAACGAGATAGGAAATCCTTGACCTCCTTAATAACATTTAGATTTGTTCCGAAAATCAGTATGTCATCAACATACAAGCAAAGGATAACTCCCTCGCCCCCACCATGGCGATAGTACACACATTTGTCAGCTTCGTTTACAACAAAGCCTGCGGCTGTTAAAGTTCTTTCAAACTTCTCATGCCACTGTTTGGGTGCTTGCTTGAGTCCATACAAGGACTTTAGCAACTTGCACACTTTTCCTTCCTGACCATCTAGTACAAACCCATCTGGTTGTTCCATATAAATTTCCTCGTCCAACTCTCCATTTAGGAAAGCAGTCTTAACATCCATTTGATAAACGAGAAGACCATGCGAGGCAACTAGTGAAAGTAGAACTCGAATAGTGGTCAGTCGAGCCACAGGTGAGTAAGTATCAAAGAAGTCTTCACCTTCCTTTTGGGTATAACCCTTAGCCACGAGCCGAGCCTTGTACTTCTCAATAGTACCATCAGGCCTAAGCTTCTTCTTGAATACCCATTTGCATCCTATAGGTTTGCACCCATAAGAACGATCAGTTATCTCCCAGGTTTCATTCGCCAAGATGGAATCCATCTCGCTACGAACCGCTTCCTTCCAGTAGTCAGCATCTTCAGATGCATAGGCCTCTGAAATAGAACTGGGAGTGTCATCTATGAGATACATAAGAAAATCATCACCAAAAGACTTTGCAGTCCTCTGTCTCTTGCTCCTAGTAGGAACTTCATTGTTCTCCTCCACAGGACTTTCAAAGTGTTCCATCGAAATGGCAGGTTCGGTAATTGTAACTGGTTCCTGATTCGATGAACTAGGCATCTCCTGATTAGATGAGGTAGCCATATCCTTCATGGGAAAGATATCTTCAAAGAAATTCGCATCATTCGACTCCATGATCGTACCGACATGTATGTCAGGTACCTCAGATTTTACAACCAAGAATCTATAGCCAGTGCTATGAAAAGCATATCCCAAGAAAACATAATCCGCAGTCTTTGGTCCAAACTTCCGCTTCTTTGGAATTGGAACATTGACTTTCGCCAAACAACCCCATGTTCGTAGATAAGAGAGTTTTAACCTTTTCTTCTCCCATTCCTCGAATGGAGTTATCTCTTTGTTCTTTGTGGGAACTCGGTTTAGGACATGACATGCAGTCAATATCGCCTCCCTCCACCATGCCTTGGAGAGACCCAAAGTGTCTAACATGGAGTCCTCTCATGGATTATACCATGTTCCGCACAAAAAGCATCAAATTCATTGAAAAAATACTCTCCACCACGGTCGGACCTAAGCCTCTTGATTTTTCGATCAAGTTGATTTTCCACTTCAACTTTATAGATCTTGAAAAAGTTTAAAGCCTCATCCTTAGATTTCAGAAGATACACATGGCACTATATAGTGGAGTCATCAATTAACGTCATGAAATATTTCTTTCCACCTTTTGTCAACACACCATTCATTTCACATAGATCTGAATGTATGAGCTCTAGTGGTGCAAGATTTCTTATTTCTGCAGTCTTGTGAGACTTACGAGGTTGCTTAGCTTGCACACACACTTGACACTTAGATCCCTTGATGGTGGTGAAACTAGGGATTAAGTTCAACTTCGCTAGTCGTGACATGCAACCAAAGTTAACATGACAAAGACGTGAATGCCACACATTGGATTCACTATTGTTGCAAATATGATTAACAACTTTATTG